TTGGGGGGTATGGCAGGCAGAATAATGGCCCTGCAAATTGTTCACCTCCTAATACCTGGAATCTGTGAATATGTAATGTTATATAGCCAAAGGGGTTAAGTTGCAGATGGGATTAAAGTTGCTAGTCTCATGATCTTAAAATAGGGAGATTATCATGGATTATCCAGTTGGGCCCAATGTAATCCTACGGGTTCTTAAAAGTGGTAGAGGGAGGCAGAACAGGAAGTCAGAGAAGGTGATGTGACATGGAAGCCAGGCAGTGATGTGATTGCTGACTTTAGAGATAGAGTTGGGAACTTTGGTGGTGTAGTGCCTAAGCCATTTGACTACTGAAACCAGAAGGCTGGTGGTTCAAACCCACCAGCCACTCCTTGGAAGGAAGGTTGGGCAATCTACTTCCATAGTGAAACCACCCCAGAAACCCAAGGAGGGGTTGCAATGAGTGGTAGGGGCCATAAGCCAAGGAGTGTACCTCTAAAGACAAGGAAGAGGCAAGGAAACGGATTCTCCCTTGAGCCTCCAGAAGAAATGCAACCCTGGTGACACCTCCTTTCCCAGCTGTAGGACAGTCACTGCAGTTCCAGGCTCATGCAGACTTGACAACACTCTGCTGAAGAGGAGCTACATGTTTCTCTACATCTATTTTTAAGGAGTCAGAAAACTTGCCCACCCCACAAGCCACACTGGCAAACTCAGTTCAAATGCCACAAAGGCCCTCAGTAGACTTCTCCTTGTATCTTTGGCCAGAGTTATACCCCGTGACCATGTTTTTATGTGCCGTCAAGTCGGACCCGACTCATAGCGACCCCTCCTTGGGTTTCTGAGACAGTATCACTATGGAAGTAGTGAAAAAGGAATGGGATGACTATGGCTTTGGGCAGGATATCCCCATAAGCTGGGCCAGGGTCCTTACATCCGTTTACAAGGAAGAATATGGCAATGACTATGAGAAGACACCTGTCTGTGAGGGTTGGCAAAAAAGTGGGATGACTTCTGCACTCAGTGCCTCTTCTCTCTTTTGGTGTCATCCCACCAGGCCCCCAGCTACAGCCATCCAGTTGGAAGCTCTCTTTTAAGAAACACTGATAGAAGAGTGGGTGCCCTCACCAAGAGGGATCCTTTGAAAGATCTTTTGGTCTTTGGCTGATTGGCCATCCTTTTCTGGAAGACTCAGTCAAGTTCCTGGCATCTCCTTGCTCTGATGTGCTTCTGCTCTCCACATGGGGCCGCCCTGCACTAGCACTACTGCTCTAGTCCACTGCTCACTCAGGCTTTCTGGGCACCAACATAGGCTCCTCTTGGCCTCTCACCGCTGTTCTCACCCTGATCATCTCCAGTAGGCTGGAAGTTTGTTCTCAGAGGACATCCTTACCTGAGTCTGTTGAAGAGTAAAGACCTGGCTTCCTGGTGTGGTGTTGTACATTCTTCTTTTCTTGACATTCTCTGGGCTTCAGCCACTCTGGAGATCGGACCACCACTGGTCCTTACCCTCCTGGCATGCCCCCCACTTTGGCCTCTCTCTGACCTCCTGGCTGAGAATTCCTTCACTTTCGTGATGCATGCATTCTCCAAGAGCAGGAACCCCTTTCTCAAAGAACAGTTACATTGAATTGCAATATGATAAACAAAATGAAAGCAGTATTTTATTAGCAAAATTTTATTTTGTAAGTTCAAATCTAAAGCACATGCTCATTATAGAGTCAATCAGAGAGAACAATGAGGCTGCACTGTTGAACACAAAAACTGAAGTCAGTTATGGTTGACAGCTGCAGTCTTCTGTCAGCTTCAGCATCCAAATTATTTCCTTCTTACACTCTGTTGCTTAGTTTCAAGCAACCTTGTTTCACAAACATAAGAACTAGCAAAAAGTAGATGCTTTATAAGAAGCCTTAATGCAGTATTAGGAGTTTCCAATTAAAGTGAAAAAGGTCTGACAGGAAATTTTGTTTCAGAGTTGACTCGCATACAATATCTAAGAATAAGAGGGTGGGACTTCTTGTTTTTAATTACAATTATGAAAGTTAGACAAGGAGTACCCAGAGCGTGAAATAAGCACTAAAGCAAGCAACTAGTCCATTATATACAATTGTAAGATCAAACATCTGAAATCACAAAGTACCTATTTGGATTCCAGGGCTTCCACAGAAGGACGTTTGAGAAACTGGGTGTGTAGATTCCCTTCCATCCTTCCCAGACAGCTAGGCCTAGGTCCTCTGCCCTCCTCTACTTGCCCTCAGGATTCTCCAGCTATCTCCCTCCTGACATTTCCCATATGAGGTCTCACATTAGACAGGAGTCACACTGTACCCGTCATACTTCTTACTGAGTGGGTGGCAGTCTCACCCAGGATCAGCCTCAGGTACCTCTGCTGCCTGAAAAGGTCTATCTCGAGGAGGCTGCACACAAAAGCCATCAGAGATGTCTTAGCTTCCAGCAAAGCCCTGGTCCATCATCCCTTGGGCTGTCAGTGCATTTCCCAGAACACCAACCAGAAGAGCCCAGTGGCTTGGGTCTAAGGATTAAGAACTATCTCAATCCACATGTAAATCTTGCTCTAAAATCCGAGAGATTCAATGAAAGTAGCAAGTTCTGTTTTGGGCACTTTGTTTTGTGAACAATATTGACTAAAACTGATAGTGATAATAATAATGATGGCAGTTAAATAATGTTTCTTGTTTTAGTGTTTTTAACAGGCATCCTGCTCAGAACTTTCTCACTTAGTCTTCACATCTACCCTATAAAGTATGTAGAATTTTTCTTCCTATTTGTATCGAGGAAAATAAGACTTTAAGGTTATAAGGTTATTTTGTCTAAGATCACACAATTAGTTAAAGCAGCAGAGCTGGAACTAGAACTCAGATCTTGAATTCAATATATCTAAAAGATATGTCATGATATACCAACAAGGCCTCTTTGATCTAGGGAACTGGGACAGCTTCTAGTATGTTCAAGTACATTGAGGTAAGCACAGTGATTCTTTTCAGAGTAGCTCAGGGAAGCAGAGATCCTACAGTGACTGTCCTCTGCTGTGACTGCCACCAACTGGCACAGGCCACCGTGAAGAAAAAGGAGCCACAGGTTGTGTCCTCCATCAGGGGAAGAATTCTATCAGTGTGTTTTAACTCAGAATCCTAGACATGGTCAGAGACCAAAACCTCTGATTGAGAAATGCTGCCCCACTCAGACCACCCAAATACCTATCCTGTGCCAGGTACCATGTAGGCCCTTGGGGTACAACTGAGAAGACACAGATGTGGACTCCGCTCTCCTGGAATTTAGATTACTTGGGGAAATTACCTGGATAGTCTCAGTGGCCTTGCCTCCATGGTGGAAGAAGCAAATTTCCAAGTGGCTCAAGTTTCCATTAGACCTGTCTCTGTTTCCTGAGCCAGCAGCTAAAACCTAGGACGTAGGTCTGAGGGTCCCCATAGTCACACTTAACCAAAGAACTGTCTGGATCTAGAGTTTGTCTCCCTCTGGAAAAACCCTGGGGACATGAGTTTTCTATTAAGGAATTACTAGCCACTGATGCTTAAATAAATGGAGTCCTTGGGTGGCAAAAATTGTTAAGTGCTTGGCTGCTAGCCATAAAGGCTGGTGGTTCAAATCCACCCAAAGGGGCCTCAGAAGAAAGGTCTAGCAATTTACTTCTAGAAAACCCAATGAAGTACAATTCTACTCTGACAAAGATGGAGTCTCCATGAATTGGAGTCAACTTGATGGCAATTGGTTTAGTTATGCTTAAAAAAATAGCCTGGTGCAATGTAAACCTCTTTTGGAAAATTGTTGAAACACAACTACAAAATTTATTTTTTGAATCCACGGTGCTTCCAGAAGTACAGATGGTACTCTGACCATGTCTAAGATTTTGAGTTAAAACAGTCCTGATAGATTTCCCATGTGTTGGTTAAACGTAGTCCCTAACACAGACACAGATGGTTTTCTGGTTAAGCTCAATTGTGGGCTGAAAAAGGTGGTTTCATTGTTACCCTACAACAGTTGGGAAGATATTGCAAAGGCTGGGTCCCACAGGGAAGCAGGTAGCCAAAGCAACTCTGCTTCCTCTCTCATCCATTCCAGGGACTGGCCTAATTCCTAAGGGCCAGATTGCAGAAGATCATGTATGTCTGAGAGCTTGGGGGAAGGCAGTCCAAGACTCTTTGTATCAACCCGGAAGTGGACCAGGCTGTAGAATTCCTCATCTCGGCTTCCTGACATAGACTCAGCCCAGGACTGAATTGTTCTGCTCACTGTGGTTTGGTTTGGGTGCCATGGCTGGCATGGACTTGTAGTCCACTGCTAGCCACACTGCTGGCTGTATTGCTACAACAGAAGGGTATTCTGAATGAGAATAGGCAATAGTTGTAAGACTGAAGCCAGAACAGAGCAGAAAAAGTCTACTTTCCTTTACCACCATTATTTTTAGGTAATTCTCCTGCCCAAATACCCAGGTTCAAAATCCTCAGTATTTCAGGCATTGGTCATTTAGCTACTGCCTACTTTTCTAGTCTTAGTAGTAAACCCTGTTCCCCAAGCAACCTGGCTAGTTGGGATGCTTCAAATGTGGTGCTTTCCCACGTTGGGCCTTTGCTCAGCTGTTTCAGGAACCTTACCACCAACTGCACCAATGGACTGCTTCCTCTTCATCCTTCATGGCCCTGATAAAAGGTTTGCTTCTTGGCAATGCTGTCCTTGAGTCCCCCAGCAGTGCAAGATCTCTTTATTTCCTTGCACTCCTGTGGCATTCACCCTCCTGTCCTGCTCCTGTAGTCAGTATTCACATTCTGCCTTGTAGAGTCTTATCTAGTCTATCAGATTGGGAGGGCCTTGAGGGCAGGTGCTGGCACTCTACCTCACAGTGCCCAATATACTCTGCTTTGCACATGGGCCACTACACATGCAATACTTATTACCAGGATGACTGATGGGTGTCTGTGGGCTCTCTCCATTCCAAGTGCCTCATCTGCAGACACAAAAGGAGATTATATAGCAATGTGACCTCAGTGCTCATTGCCTTCTTCCACCAAATCTGAAGGTGGAGGGATTAGGTCTCGGGGATTCATCCTGGCCACCAGGCACACATCATAGCTATCATGCATGAGGACGTTAATGGCTACAACATTCCATTGGTTTTCCCATGGGTCCAGCTCCAATATTTCTTTGGAAATAACTTCATGGCGATCTGAAAAACAGCAAAATAAATAAATAATTAAAAAAAAAAAAAAGAAAAGACAAAATACCATGGGGGTATTAAATTCTGAGGTCATCATCACTGTATTAAACAATTTCCTCTAAAAGGCATTATGACAAAGAATTAATTAACAAGCAATTGAAAAAAATACTTTATATTTAACTATTTATTTTTAAAATTTTATTGGGCTTTGGGTGCAAATTTACCAAACAATTTTTTTTTTTTTACATTCAACAGTTCCTGCACATTTTATTTCAAACCCTGATTATCATCCCAGACCATAACAAACTTTTCTCTCCTGTCTCTGTGGCTCCCCTCCCCTCCCTGTGCCCTTCTTAATGATGCATTCCTGTCTGTCCAGCTTTCCCTTTAGGTGAATGCTGTCCCTCTGGTGTCTCCTGGCTGATTGCTCTAAGGGGTGCATCTCCCTAGAGTAAGTGAGTGCATTGCCCTGGGGTAGGTGTTCTGTATATAGGTCTTTCTACTGTTGGGCTGAGAACCAATCCATGGGAATGAGTCCATTTCCAGGCCTGAAGGGTAACCCAGGGCCATAGTCTCAGCGGTTCCACCAGACTCTATCTGACCAATAATTCTGGTCAGTTTTGTTTTTGAATTTTGTTCCACTTTGAAAAAAGATACTTTATTTATATATTTTCCCCGGATTATTTTTTTTTTAGAGTTTGTTTTACATTCAACATTACGTGTACATTTAGTTTCACTCCCTATATACCATCCCCAACCCTAACCCAGTCTCCTACCCTCCTGACCAGTAACCCTACCCCCATGCCCCTCATAGTTTTGTACTCCTGTGTGTCCTGCATTTCATCTGTGCGAGTGTTGCCCCTCTGGTGCCTGTAGCTGATTGCTCCAAGGGATGCATTTCCATAGAGTATGTGGGTATGTCACCCTGGGTTGAGTGGTCTGCATGTATATCTTGTTTACTATTGGGCTGAGAGCCAGCTCCTGGAAGTGAGCTTTATTCCAGGCCCAGAATGTATCCCAGAACCGTAGTATTAGGGGTCTCACCGGACTCCATTCAACTGGTAATTCTGGTCATTATTGAGTTTTTGGATTTTGTTCCACGTTTTTCCTCCCACTCTATCCAGGATCTTCAGATTTGATCCTTTCCTGAGTGGCTGGCATTGGTAGCCAGGCACCATCTAGTTCTGGTCCTAAGGGCCATCATGTCCCAGGGCTGATTGCTTCCAAATGGCCTTGTTTTTTTGCACTCTTCTTCACTTCTGATGATGAGACCATTAGCTGCATCTTAGATGACTGATCGAATGCTTTTAAGACTCCAGTCACTGCTCACCAATGTAGGATGACAAATAAGACTTTTATGTATTTTGTTGTGCCAATTGAGTTTGGTGTCCCCCGATACTATGGTCCTGAGTTGATAGATCCATTGGTTTTCTCTCCCACAGTTTCTGGGTGTCTCTGTGTCTTCTGTTGTTTCTGTAATGATTGTGGTTATTTTGTATCACTGGTATCTGTGCAAGATTAGCCTCCGCTGAATCTTCCTTGGTCTAGAGTGTACTCCTGTTCACTGACCCCCATCTGATCTTCTCAGATGTTTATGTGTTTATCTGTAGCCTGGTGTTTGGTGTTGTGGATATACTGGTTGGTATTAGCATCTGTTGTCTATATAATATGTGCACAACTCAGTGTCCTCCCTCTTCCTAATGTTATCATGGTGGTCCTGGACTCTTTTTATTCCATACCTCCCCTTACCCATGCCAGCACATGGCCCCCAACTAGCCCAAAATTAATCCAAAATACTTTATATTAAACTAAAATGATACTTTAAATAGAAGCATAGTGTTTCTAATATTTAAGAAGCAAAGAAATATGTTACAACTCACATTCAAAAGTAAATCAAGAAGCACTGAGAACTGTATAAAGTTGAAAGATGTTCCAATGCCATGCTAAAAACTTATCAATTATACAAACAAGGGATGAAAACTGTCCTTATTTCTATTCTAACGAGAGGAGGCATGGCTGAAGTAATGTGCCACTGGCTTCCCAAGCTGACGTTTATTCTCATGCAGATAAACCCAAAAAACCCAAACTCACTGCCATTGAGTCAATTCTGACACACAATGTTCCCCCATTGGGTAAATCTTTATGGGAGTAGATTGTCCCATCTTCCTTCCATGGAGTGGCTGCTGGGTTTGAACTGACAACCTTCTGGGTAGCAGTCAAATGCCTTAGGCACTGAGCCACCAGAGCTCCTTCTCATGCAGATAGGGATGCTAATACTCAACCTTCCTTTCAGGAAACAGATGGAACACTCAAACTGGATAATTTGAAGAGAGTTTAGTAGAGGAACCATCAGTAAAAGTGTGGGTGGGATTAGGAAAACCTGCAATGAATGAAACAATACCCTAGGACTAATGGCAGTCAGGGGCCATTATCATCCCTAGGCCTGAAAGTAAGGAGAAAGAGTGGTTATTGGAACTTTGAAAGGGTAACTGTATGGAGGGGGCCACCTGGCAGGAGCACACTTAGTAGAAGAAGAGGGATACAGCCATTCTCAGCAAACCAGCATAGAGGGAGTAGGGTATTTATCACCTTGCATTCCTACTGCAGATAAATATCTGAATTCTACTCTCCTTTCATCTGCCAATTTCCTGCTGGACCCAACTAGAAGCCAAAGGACCAGCAAGCCCCTTGATCCGCTTCATTAGACTTTTCACCTGAGATAATTTTCCTTAAGACTTACAGGGTTCAGAGCATGTAGAGAAGGGCAGATGATGGATTTGGTGGGGCAAATGGATGATTTCCAGCCCAGATGCCTATTTTACAATTTTATAATAATTAAAGGAGATAATGTGTCCAGTTCATTCCTGGCATATAGAAGTCAATTTTTGAAATGGTCCATGTGTGCTTGTAAAGAATGGTATTCTGCAGTTGTGGGTGCAGTACTCCATACATGTTCATTAGGTCATATTATTCAACTTGTCTACATATTTACTGATTTTCGTGGGGTTGTTCTGTCAATTGCTTGGATAGTTATGTTAAAATATTCCAGTAAGTTATAGATTTTTAAATTTCTCCCTTTAGTTATGTTCAACTTTAGCATACACACTCTGAATATGTATTACCCACTGATATTGAGTCAATTCCAACTTTCAGCAACCCCTATTGGGTTTCCAAGGCTGTAAATCTTTATAGAAGGAGATTGCCTCATCTTCTTCCTGTGGAGCAGCTGGTAGTTTTGACCCAATGACCTTCTGGTTAGCAGCCAAATGCCTTACCCATTATGCCACTTGAGCTCCTTTTGAATCTGCATTAAGTACATATAAATTACAATTTTTAAAGTATCTTCCTGATGAGTTTAAACCTTTTATCTGTATGAAGTGGCCCTCTTACTGTAGTAAGATACAAATACAGTTACATCAGAATTCTTTTGGCTAGTATTATATGTAATAAAAAGTAGAATTTTAAAAACTATTCTGACAATCTTTGTCTTTTAGTTAGAGCATTTAGGGCATTTACATTTAATACAATTACTGATATATTTTGACTTAAATTTACCATCTTATTTTGGGCTTTGTATGTGTTTTATGTGTTCTTTCTTTCATTGCTGTCTTGGGTATCGCTTGAGCATATTTTATCATTCCATTTCTTCCCCTCTACTGATTTACAAGTTACATACCCTATTTCTGTTCTTTTGGTGGTTATGCTAGAAATTAGAACATGCATACTCAATTTATCAACATATAAAGATAACCAATATCTTGACCTTCCT